TCCTGACGTCCACTAGGATGGACATTTATAAAAGGGCTGTTATATCAAAACTTGAATTATTTAATTGCTTTCAGAACTCATTATATAGTTCCTCACATATAAACAAGAACATATATGATTTTCATGGTAAAAATTACAATTATTCAACAATATTTGACTTCTCCTCCTGCTTCTATAAAATGTTGTTTTTGGTATGCCAGCCATTTTGGATGAAAAGAAAGAGGAACTTCCCAGTATGCAATTTTAACCAATGACATATCACTGGAAAGACCAGGATGTCCTCTGTACATTACATCAGGGATTGATAGAGTAGCTCAAAAGAGTAAAAGGAGATGCATGTTAACAAAATGTCCACTACAGTGGACGTTTTCAATGGGCTGGGTCCCAGGAGGATATTCTAGGCTGAGAAGCAATATACATTCCAACACATGCAAAAAGGCAACTGTAACTGTGTGTCACTTTGTTAAACACAACAAACCAAGTTACATCCGAGGACAATTACAAATCACAGCGTCAAATGTTGACAATGTAAATCTCTATATTAACTCTGATACAGGTATTTGTCTAAAGCCACCTGATAGCCACATGATAATGCAGCTACAATTATGGGTCTGCCACCTGTTAGAGGATGAACTTATTGTTGAATCAATTCCTTACACTTGTCCATCTTACATTTATAGTTCTGGAAAGACCCAAAGTACTAAACCAAATGGACAGACATTTTGGCTTACGTAAATAAATCTGTTGGGAAGTCACGAGTTTCTTTTCTTTCTTTAATGTCTTTCTTTTTTCTTCCTACCTCTCCATCAAACTCTTTATTGCACTGTGAGTTTATAGCTTCCAGGTAACCTGTGACTTTGAGAACTGGGAGGCCGTTAGGAGTTGCTATTTGATATAATGTATCTTGATATCACATATCTTGATTAATATCACAGTAGACCTTAAATATTTAGGCTGCTAGAGATCTGATGCTGTAAAGATGACGAGTCAGGAAAGACGAGACAGATAATGTCAGCAGCGCAGTTTATTTTGCCTTCAAGACACATTTTTCATGCCTTTTTAAGGAATGAAAGCGTCTCGTCTCAGTGGCTTCAAAACAAATATGATCCTTTGATTATTGAAATTCACGAGTGATGATAACTGTTGTTTGTTTAACATAAGATGGAATTTACTGAGGAAGGATCTGGAATATGTCTTCATCTTCGTGCAAAGCTATGTATGGCAGAGGAAGTGGGTCGAAACCCCTATAACTGTCAGTTAAGTTTTACTCACAAATGTCTGACTGTGACTTTGTTTGACGGCAAAAACTGGAGAAAACAACCCCTGAGAAAACTGAAATAGGTCTGTAAGTATATCAACAATACACAATTCCTTTTCCTTTCTGATAATGTTAAACCTTCTACAATCAGCTGATAGTTGGCCGACGCTCTGTCACTGATCCGTTTGACTGTAAAGTTCACCTTCCGAGTCCTCAATATTTCACATTGGGATGCATTTATACATTCAAAAAAGCAAATAAGTACAGAAGTACACGGATGGAGACGGTGTGCCAAAACAGACATAAAGAATAAAGTCAGTGTTGTTTTACTCTTAATTCCTTTTAAAGTAGAGTAGGGGGTTAGGGTTAGGGTTTGTACTGTCGTTGAACTTGCTCCGCAGCATCCGGAAACATCGAGAGTCATTTACCGGCAGCGGCAGTTCATTTGACTGAATAGGAGCTGGATTACTCTCCAAATAGAGACCCACAATACAGGATGGACCCTCGCTGACTAATCAGACGAGTGGAGGAGGAAACAAGTCAGCAGATAAACTGAACACTCAGATACAAACAGAGAAAAACCACCAGCACCCCTAACGTCAGGATGTTGGTCAAAACCATTATTGTGTCCCTCAGCACTAAATGCTGACACACACACATAAACATACTGATTGTGTGTTTTCTTAAAAGTAAAAAGGCTACAAAGATAGATGAACTGAACCTTAAAGTTTAATTTTCTGAACACTTCTGCGGTGTCTGAGGTGGTAAAAATCAAGAGGAACGTTAACAACAAGATATTGTTTATTATTATCATGGTCAAACATTTTGGGAAATACACTTTTCTGGTTTCTTTTAGTATGATGGATATCATTCTCATGTTTGCATTACAAGACGCCAGTTGGCTCAGCTTACGTAAGCATACAGACTGGGAACATGGGGGGAAATATACAGGGTATTTCCTTGCAGCACCCCAAAACTTCCTGATGACAAGTTACATTTTCTTTGTTGAATCCGTTTAAAACCCAAGAAAAGAAAATCGGAAGTTGGTTAAATGGCTGCAGCAGGTCTGTGAGACTAGTAACACACAAGGCCAGCAGCATCATAAATGTTGCTGAAATGTCAACAAATGGTATGTTTTTGATTCATGTTTTGGCAAGTCTGTGAATCATTTTACTCCTTTAAACTCTGATAAAAGGCAGGTCAAATCACATGTAGTCATTACGTATTTATCTCTCGCAATAAAAGCCCTACACATATAATATTCATATTTTCATTTTGTTAAACGTTATCCATCCGTGTGTAAATGCCTAAAAGAGTTATGGACAAACATGTAATTACGCTGTTCAGTAGAGGTAAAACACACACACACACACACACACACATATACACACACACACAAACACACACACACACACACACACACACACACACACACACACACACACACACACACACACACACACACACACACACACACACACACACACACACACACCATCTTTTATCAGCTGAAGCAGGAGGGGAGCTCAGAGAGATCAAGATTTATTGCGCATGGGAGATAACACACACACTAACACATGTACAGACCACACACTGCGTAGACAGGGGATAACACACACACACACACACACACACACACACACACACACACACACACACACACACACACACACACACACACACACACACACACACACACACACATCAAAAGCTCCTGGCTGGGATCACTGCTGTCCTCTCCTCCCTCCTCTTGACCTCTGACCTTCATCTCTTCATTCTCCGTCTCTCCGTCTCTGTCTTTCATCTTCCTCACACTCGTTTCTCTCTCAGTCTGAAGCCGCTCGCCAGCTTTTCTACATTTGTCTTTTATATGGCTGAATGAAAAAACATCTTGACACACTTTTTAGTGTTGCAAGATCAAATGGAAATATTTGCACTCCTTTCTGGAGCTGCACACATATACTCACACCTCCAGAGACACTATGTAACCAATTGTAAGCAAATCCAAATATTTCATACTGTAAATGCACATTTTCCTCTATTATCCTCAATATATATACCTCTACTATAACTGCCCATCTGTGCCACTTCAAATTCTCATTTACTGCACATACATTTGATATGCTTATAGTTTTTTTTGTATATTTATATATTGTACACGTAGATTTTTACATTTTCTATATTATATTATATGTAAACAAATGCAAATAGTTATATATTTGTTCTATTTTTACTGCCTCTGTTTGAATATGTAAATAAATATGCTAATAATTTAATTTCCTCCGTCTAGGGAATGGATAATATTTGTGTTAGGGAAATCATATCCACTTACAGAAATGATGTAATGTAGGACAATCTTAGCGTCCTTTGTTTAGCAACCCAAACAACGTTATATAAAAGTAACTAAATATAAAAACACATTTCAAAGTTGTAATAGGTTTGCTTTCATATCTTTGATGTAGGAAATACGTTTGGAAACTTCATATATAACGAGGGAGCATTTCAACATTCAAATTCTGCATCGCTTGTTTTACTTTTTTGCACTTCTACTCATTCTGTTCAAAGCCAGTATTTACGTACAGTGCAGATAAGGCTAAAATAAATGAACAAGTATTTGTACAAAGTAGATTAAGATTCCAGTCCTGGCTGCGTTTGATTGTTTCTGACTTTGATCAAAACATCTCCAATAACTCCCGAGTGCTGTTATTGAAAAGATGTATTCATTTCCAAAATGCACATGTTTTATATAACAAAATATTCAGTTTCAATCCATATTTGTTGGCTTTAACCCTCCTATTGTCTTCGTACCCCCCCCCCCCCTTACTTTGGTGTTCGCGGTCCTGTTTTAACTGCTATTACATTAACACAAAAACCATTAATCATCACCAAATTTCATTTAACACCCTTTCAAACTGTACATATTGTATCAGACTACTGGTATACATGAGAAACTGCAGTAAATAGAATAGAATACAAAGAATAGACACTGAACATGTATTGCGTGTGCCAGCTGTGATCCATGTGGGGGGATGGGCACATAAGAGCGGGAAATGTGTCAAATTGTTCTGTGTGTGTGTGTGTGTGTGCGTGTGTGTGTGTGTGTGTGTGTATGTGTGTGTGTGTGTGTGTGTGTGTGTGTGTATGTGTGTGTGTGTGTGTGTGTGTGTGTGTGTGTATGTGTATGTGTGTGTGTGTGTGTGTGTGTGTGTGTGTGTGTGTGTGTGTGTGGTGTGTGTATGTGTGTGTGTGTGTGTGTGTGTGTGTGTGTGTGTGTGTGTGTGTGAGTGAGTGTTTGTGTGCCAGGTGTGATTCACATGGGGGGATTGGGCACATAAGGGGGGGGGCACATCTAGAGTATGTGTGTGTGTATGTGTGTTTGTGTGTGTGTTTGATCTGATCTGGATGGTTACTAATTCCTTTTCTTTATGGCGGTCATTTTTGAGCGGGAACACCATGGGTGTTACAAAGTTGACTAAATCATCCAAAATGCAATGGAAGTGGTGATCAGCAATTGTATATGTTCAAATGTCTACTGTGAAGGATATCATAAAGCTTTAATGCAATCGAATGTAAAACAAAAAAGTTATGATTGATGAAAGTAGTAAATCGGTCAGATTTGACCCGAAGACAACAGGAGGGTTAAACCTTTCAAAAATGTGATGTTTCACTGTAGTGCAAAAACAGTTTGTGCTCTTACTCGCTGCACACAAAGGGAGGCCCACACTGACAAGTTCAACTCATTCAAGAAAGGTGATTTAATTAAATAAAGAACAATGTAATCCCTTTAATATACATTCATCTGGTATTGGTTAAAGGTTTCCAATGAAAACATGAGTGTAGCCAACATGACAAGGACAAAGAGTTGCTTTATTTTAAATTATACTTTATTTCATATAAAAACAAAACAATAAACAAATAAATTAGATATTTCTAAAATAATTCTCTTGAGGAAATGTTTAAGAACGCTGTGATTGTTTACAGTTTTTATCTGGGAGGAGAGCAGATAACTGGAATGTAAAGATGCAGATGTGTCCGGACACTTTGTGGTTATGCATGTAAATGTAAAGAGCTTCATTCCAAAATGAGACACCAGATGATTGACAGCATGGGAAAAAAACAAGAAATGAGGAGAGAAGATGCACAAATCCTTCATAGATTAAATGGTTGACTGGTTTCACAGACAGGACGATGATTAGATCAAGAAACGGGACCAGAGGAAAAACAGCTTGGGTGTAAAACAGCCACATTTCAAACCAAAATCATTACATAGTGTTTGGTAAATTTAAACAATGTTATCTCTTTTGTTAAAATCTCTTTCTCTCATTTTGTCTCAATGTTCAGATTTCGGTGTCTTGGCTGTTTTACCCCACAGGGGAATTTTCCGCAGCTGGTCCTGGTGGCAAATCTGAATTAAAATGTGTGTAATTTTAAAAGATGGTGGGCTGCTGTGGGGATAAAGATAGGGGCGTTTTAGGACAGAAGAGGACACATTACCATAATAAGAGCCTCTTCATTTGCACACAAGCCCAAGCTATCCCCACACCACCTCCACCCAACAAAAAAAAGCTCCCTCTGGTCCGCAGTCACACCCATTAATCCTGCAAAGCCTTCATTGTCCGCGCAGGCTGCGGACCTGAAGACCCCTCGCCAGCAGATTGGGAGGGTGAAGGGTTACCGCCAGACAAAGGAGGCTCCCTCCCCCTTCTCCTCTATTTGAAATCAATCACACTGGCTTTCACATTCAGTTCCCCCCCCACCCCTCCTTCTCCTTTAGGCAGTGACAGTGGATTTGGGCTGAATCGTTGGTCCTCTTTTCAGGGTCTGGACACACTGTCTGTGACAATGGGAGCTGTTGTTGGAGGAAGAACCACGTGATGTTGTCTCACAGTTTACGTGATTGTTCAATGATGTTGATGACCTTGGAGAACTTTTTTTAAAACTATGCATTCGACATTTTTTGGTGGTTTTCCTCCAACAACGGCAACAAGAAATGACAATCCTTCTGGTATTCGACCACTAATGACTGAAGTCAAAACAATTTACGGCAAAATGACAAATACAGGGTTTCATTCCAAAACTTTAACAATCTTTTAAAGGCTCAATCCATCATGTTTGACCACATATATTTGAGGTTTGAGCTGTCGAAATTTTGGTCGTTGTTCTGCACATTTTGCTGAAGTAAAGCAATTTTTAACAGCGTCAAATATTCTGGATTTTGGGGTGACTCCAATGTTTCAATTTATGGGATAATTGGGTAAAAATCTTTTTCTGAATTGACTATTTTGGAATGAAACAAGACAGCTGAGACAGGTTTGGCACTTGATTAAAATTCCTCTCTCCTTTCGCCCTCCAATAACCTTCATTTTTTGTGTCATCAAAATAATTTATAAAAGGCAATCGTCTTTTTCTGCTGTTGATATTTACATACAATATTTTAATATTCTAATATATTCACAGGAAATCATAAATTCAGGCACTTTGCTGCCGCTACAGCAACTTCTTAGCACAAGAGATCCTGAGATTTAAGACTGTTTTTTCTTTTTAAATAAGCAACACAAAAGTAAAATAATCTTATATAGAGAGATTTATATTTAACAATCACTTTCTTCCTTTTTTTACCGTAGCAAAATAAATCTTTTTTTGTTTGATAAAAATGTCTTTACCACCGAGCTTTCTCGCCTGGTTTTGGGTTGTGTGAGGAGGTCATAGTCCGTCACCTCTCTGAGGGAAACTTGATCAAAGAAAGCATTTCGAGGCGATTTTGTCTTCTTCTGTGGTGTTTAGTGCCGCAGTTTTCCAACGATAACAACTGTTCTTGTGCACAGTGCCAGAGCTGATAGTCCAAAGTACCACGTTACGTGTTCCTTCATCTTGTAATGAAGCCTCAGTCTATATCTAAAGGCTTAATCTGGTGCCCTAATGGAGGTCCAAGGAAAACTTCATGAATATAAACTTTAACTTAACTTAGCTGAGGACCTCCAATATGGCCGCCAGGGGATGTGTTGTAGTGTTCATGTCTTTGTGTGTGTGGGTGAGTTTATGTGAGTGTCTTCTTCATGTCTATCCGGTTGCGCACGTCTTGGTATCCCAGGAGGCAGGGGTCGGTGGGCAAGGCGTCATGGGTAAAAACAGAGTCGTTGTCAGAGGAGCAGGAGCTGGACGTGTCCTCGCACGACGGGGAATACTGCTCGAAGGGCGTCGACAGGTCCAAGTACTGAGAGAGGAAAGCATGGTCAGACATTGGAGACATGTTGGTGTTACAAGAACAGAGGAAAAGCAGCTGTAGAAATGAACAGGAAGCAGCTTCTCAAAGGCGTTTCATTTCATGCTTAGTTGCTGCATGAGTAGTTGAATTATCTGCATGCTGCTCTGAAATGTTAACAATCTGAACAACGCGGCGAAACATTTGATTTTGTTGTTTGTTTGGCGTTTAAAAGCCCTTTATTTTTCTCTCTCGTAGTGAAGACATCTGGACAGCAGATTGCTTAAGAGAGGATGTGTGTGCAACTTCACGAGTGCATATATGAGCCTGTGAGTTTTAGTTTCATAGGAGCATATAGGTAGAGTATTATGTCACTCACCTCGTCAGAGATGGACAGCAGCACTTTGTCCAGCTCCTCCACCAGCTGTTTGAAGGTCGGCCTCTGGGTGGGAACCGCATGCCAGCACTCTCGCATCATCATGTAGCTACAGAGGAGAAAAACAGAAATGAGTTATACCATCTACAAATGTAGTCTCTAAGGGCCCTTAAAACATACTTCTTTGAGTCCAAGAAATGACAAGCTTTGATGAGCAAATACTTGGGTAAGGGTGGAGCTCATGAAATGGTATGTAAGCTGTTTCTTAAGCCATTTGTACTGATGTGAACACCACTCGCTCGCTGCTGTGAGCAAAACAACATCTCACATGAACAAACATAAGAAAGACAAGTTCCTGCTTACAGTTCATGTGTGCAGTTGGAGGGTTTGTCCATGCGATGTCCTTCCTTCAGCAGCTTGAAGAGTTCCTCGACGGGGATACCGGGGTACGGAGAGCCACCTAGCGTGAAGATCTCCCACATTAACACGCCAAAAGACCACCTGAGCACAAACAGGAGGAAAAACAGTGTTTAAAATCAGGACACGAGCTCAGACATCATTTGAAGATATACAACTTTGATGATTTGATGAGTACAGTTCGATGAGGTTTGACAAGACGAATAGGTCTTTCCAGAAAGCAGTTCATTTTGTGTGTATCAGAAATGGACTTACACGTCGCTCTGGTGTGTGTAAACTCTGTCAAACAAAGCCTCGGGTGCCATCCATTTCACCGGCAGACGTCCCTGTAAAACACATGTACATGTTCAAACCAGACCACAACAACTCTGACTTATTGCTTTTCTGTCTCACTGTTAAAAAATATGTTTTCCTCTCACAATCCTTCCCCTCCTCCCTCCTTGTCTCCCCTCTTATTAAGTCTCATTAAGCTTGCTGCCAATCAGAGGAAAACATCAGACATCTGACTTTAGGGACATTAAAGCTTGAAAGGAACCCTTTTTTATTGCATGCTTTTAAAATGTGTTATCCCAAACAGCATGCTTCGAAACTTTTCACTTTAGCAATGCACACAAATAAAATGTATTTGATCCAATAATATGATAGTACAAGAGAGTCATTTAGCTGTACTCTTCCTCTCACTACTGGAAATCAAAACATTTTTACTGGAAAGCTACGGGAGTGAAGAAGTAAATCCAGTCCTGAAAGCCTCACTCACGTTGGTGGTTTTCTTGTAGTAGTCGATCTGGTGGACTCCTCTGGCCAGGCCGAAGTCAGCGATCTTCATCACGTTGTCCTCCGTCACCAGAACGTTTCTGGCTGCCAGATCTCTGTGGATGCACTGCGGCGAGAGAAGAGAGAGAATTAACACTAACCCTTAAAAAAGAGCTTAAGGCCAACTGCTGGGTCTCAGATTATAAGATTAGCATTTAGTTTAAACGGTGCTGCTTAATGGGCTCAGAGATTTAATTTCTGCTTTGGAAAGTCATTTGTGTTAAGTTTGTTGCTTCTTGTTTACAAATGTCTACATTTTAAGTCCTATCAGACCAAGAAGGTTGAACTTGTCTTCATTATGGAGGCGTTTACATTCATATGCTCTGTTTGTTTGAGACCGGTGACACGACATGTTCTCGTCTGCGGTTTCGGGAAGCCATGTAAAAACATGGAGGTATGGGAGTTAGGAATGATTCACTGCAGTTTTTCTCCCAAAATGAAAAGACTCAGCAGTCTAAAGTCAACACACAGCGCCTCATTTTAGTGAACGCTTCAAAATTAAAAAGTCTTTATATAGAAACCCGGGAGTTTGAAATAAAAACAAACCTTCTCCGAGGAGGAAAAAAGAACATGCCCACATTGAATGGATGTCATTAAGTTTATTTTGGTTTTCATTCGAAATAGATGTGGGATTTGTGGGGACGAGCGAAATAAGCCAGTCTCGGTTTGTGGGTCTCCCCATAATGGAGGGTTAGTTTCAGTCTCCTGCATTCTTAGGAGGCCGTAGAGCCAGAAACCCGATGCCTGCACCCAGACGACGGCTCTGCTGCTGTTTGCTAACAGATTTATGGCAGCGTTAAAAAGGACAAAGCACTGAGACTGAGGGACGGACAGATGGATGGAGAAGAGTAAACAGGACTGATTTTCTGTTCAGGAATGCCTGTCTGAGACACCGGCTGGCAGACAAAGAGACGTGTTGATAAGAAACACACAGACAGAGTGCATGCTGGGAAAATGAAAGGAATAGAAACATGGGGGGTTGGGATGGAAAGAAAAGAAAGAAAGAGGGGAGAGGGGGGGGGGAAGTCTAGTGGGGATATCCATCTGAAGGCCAAGTGCCCAAATCACAGAGGAACATGAACTCAACCCTAATCCCAAATCAAACGATTGGAAATGAAAGGCTCTTTAGGACTTGTGCAGCTCATTCATTTTACTATCCTGCTTTTGTGTTCCTTCAAATCTTTTGTTCGTTTGTTGTATTTGTCAGGATTTTACATTTAATCCTCATAACAATCCTTAGAAGGTTTGGCTTTTTTTTTTACTTTTTACTTGAAGAGCGACATTAATCGTCAGTCAAAATGGCTGTATTTTAACTTGTTGCTGGTCAATCAATCGTATAGCTGTCACTAAATCTTGGTTTCCTGACACGCGTACCCAACTTTTGATGAAAAGGACAGAAACTATTAATAATCTCTGGCCTCAAAAATTCAATGTGTAAGAAATGTATAACTAAACCACCTAAATGAAAGGGTTTGAACCAGTTGCCCTTTGCTTATAGAAAAGAACGGAGAAAAGATTTACAGCCACCATGTAACTGCTTTTTCTACTTCAAGTTATTTCCTCATGAAATGTAATCTATTGTGTTGTGTTTTAAAATGTTTTTACATCATGTATGAGAGTTGTTCAGTCTGTGGCTATAAGTAGGGTTTTATTGTCTCATGCTTTTACATTTGTTTTTTTGTCCAATCGGTTTTGTCTAAATGTATTTATGCTGCTTTTTATATATTTATTGATGTACAGCACTTTGGTCAACTCTGTGATTTTTAAATGTGCTATATAAATAAAGTTGGATTGCATTGGTTGGATGAAAAGTGAGCGTACCCTTTTTGACGCCAGGTACTCCATCCCTCGGGCCACCTGGTAGGCGCAGGACAGCAGGTCTTTGAAGGTGAGCTGCTCTTCAGGCACCTTGGTCACATCAAAGGTGTAGTCCATGCCCGGGGGTCTCCTCGCCCGCAGGTACTCCCTCAGACTGCCTTTAGAGGCATACTCCACCAGCACATACAGAGGGCCTGAGGGGGGAAACACACACAGGATGAAGGTTGTTTCTATTGTTGGTCTGGCCTGGAGGTATGGGACCACCATCGTTGAACACTTACTAAATTAGTTGAGATTTAGAATAACAAGGAGCCTTTGTTGAAGGACAGTCCGATTACGTTTATTTAAAGGTCCCCTATTATACTGTTTTTCATCAATATATTATAGGTCTCAGATATATACAGAACCTGTCTCTGATTGGCTGAAACACCAAACAGATCATTGCAGCATCCCATAATCCCCTCTGTTTCAGCCCTGTTTCAAAAGTGCTGATTCTTTGTCTGTTACTTTAGATGAAAATAAGGAGCCCCTCCCCACACCCCTCTGAGAGATATTTGGTTAAAAAGAACACAATGGTGCTCAAGGAGGAGATTCAGGTGATAAGGTGGGGGGGGGGGGGGGGTTACCTTGGTTGCTGATTGGCTAATGGTTACACAAGCCAACAAATCGTTATGACATCATAAAGTGGCCACAATCTGATCAGCTCATTTTCAGACAGGTTTTTATATAAATGGATCAGGACAAAAAGAGAGAGAATCTTTTTTCCTGAAACTTTCAGAGTCTCTTTTCACAGAGACTTGTTCACATTTTACATGTTGATGTAGAAAAGACATGAAGAAGTGGATTTTGCATAATGGGTGACCTTAAGACACTCACCATCCTGTGTGCAGACTCCAAGCAGATTGATGATGTTCTTGTGTTTGTCCATCACCTTCATCAGCTCCATCTCCGAGATCAGGTCTGCAAGGTCTTTGTCGGTGGCGTCGTCTTTAGGAAAAAACATACTTTATTTAGAAAACACAGCAGACCAAAGCGAATCTTTCGAGGTATTGTTGACTCTCTATCATCTCTTCTTACCTTTGAGCATCTTAACCGCCACAGTTGAGGCGGGATCCGGAGAGTCCTTGTTGATGCCGTAAGCATCGGCTCTGACAACTTGACCAAAGCAGCCTTCTCCTAGAGGTTTACCCAACGTTAAACTAGAGAGAGAAAGAGCGAAAGTTAGCAAAAATAAGTATGTCCAAATGAAAACTGTACAAATCCATAATTTGGGGCTCTGGTTCCTTAAAACATAGGTTAGGTTGAGCCAAAAACGGGCTGCGGGCTTGTTTCTTTTTAGGTCTTTTTAGAGCAACAATGTTTAAATGACTCCCAGACTAAACTCAGGGTAGAAATACTCTCTATTTGCAGCAACTTTAAAGTAAACTATGTCAACACATCTCTTTTTTTACAATCATTTCGAACGTAAGAGTATAATGTCTTTGCAGATGAGGACAGAAATGACTTTAACTTTCGGATAACTTACTTCTCTCTGGGGAACTCCCAGACGGGGTCGTAGGGCAACTCAAACTCCATGACTCCAGCGAGCATTGGAGAGCAGCTGGACGAGAGGCGAGCCACCCTCATCAGAGACGCACTGGACTTCCCCGATGAGTTAGAGTCCACCGAGTACTGAAGGCAGAAATACAGAAGAAGTTTAGCTCTCTGGAACTTACAGGAAAGTGTGGCAAATCTGAAGAGCTATAAACACCTTCGGACGACCCTTCGTGGATACTTTAAAGCAAACCCTAAGCGTTAAGTTAAAGTCCACAACTTTTCCAGAGTTAAAGAAGACATACTTTACGTTCCCATATTCTTTTATTCTTTATTAGGATTCCCATTAGCACTAGCATGAGCATTGGCTATTCTTCCTGGGGTCCTCACACACACAATACATACATAAACATACATACAGTGCTATATGAAGTGAAAACTAAAATGGTCATCCAATTTTAACCATCATAAGGTCAAACAAAAAAATACGAATAATTGTACATAATAATACATACCTACCCACAGGCACAGTTCAATTATACTTTATAATACTGAGATAATTTAGCAACCTTTTGAAATGTACTTGAGAATGTTCCTGAATGATATGGACCGGTAACGAGTTCCAGCTGACCATGGCTCTGTATTGTACATGACTGTTTTCTGTCCCATAATGCATAGCTTCGTACCTGTCTGCGAAGCGGAAACTTGGAGAGCTTCTGGACAGGAAGTGCGTCAAACGGCTCCCTTCTGGGGTGAACCTGCATTCGACACAACACCACGATGACGATGGCCATGATGAGAGCCAGGAAACCACAGGCGTAGATGATGATGTCGGTGTACTTGGTCTCCATGGTGTCCAGAGCGTCTGCTGCTTCCTCCTCTGTAGGAAGAGGGGGACACGTTTAACAAAAACATTTCTTTGCCTATTCAGTTTTTCAACACTCACGGAATATCTTGTTGCCAATTAAGAGTTGGTCAGCTTTAGATTATTAAAGTCAAAGTCCAAATCAACTTTATTGTCAATCTTTCAGTTCAGAGAGATCGAAATTCCGTTTCCCACAATCCTGAATACAAAAACAAAGATTTATAAAAATATGTATACAAATATGTATATACCTATATATATATACACAATCAACAGACACATTTAGACCACATTGCAATACTTTTTGGAAAAAGCAACAGGGAAAATAATCAAGCAATAAAGTACATCCTTTTCATTTCACTACTGAATCTGGTAGGTTTTAATTTGTTCTTTACCTGAAAGGACGACGAGCCAGGCGGACTGGTGAGCAAATCCAATTGAATTTCCAGCCAGACACGTGTATTCTCCTGCATCCTCCATGGTGACTTTAGCCAGGTAGAGCACCTCCACCTCGGACATGTTCAGACTGCCGGTCTGCACAACACATGAAGAAAAGAGACACAAAACAGTGAGTACAATACAATACAATACAGATAAGATACATAAGATAAGATAGGACTTTATTCATCCCGAAGGAAATTGTTGTGCCAGTTACAAAAATACAATAAACACAGCAGCACAATAATAATACAACTGTACACTAACAGTGCCGTAAAAAGAGCAATTCAATAACTACAGGAAACATAGATGATCACATAATTAATGTAAATATTAACAGTATTTAGTATTTAGTAGTGCAAAAACCGTCGTGGTAGTTACGTAATTGCACGTTATTTATCGAACATTATTAATAATAATAATATTGCACATGTTATATAGCAGTGTTTTGTAATGATGGTAATGGTATTTATATTGCACATAGTGGAGTTTCTCAGTTCCATTTACTGAAGGGTGAAGAGTTATATAGTACAACAATCATTGCCATAAAACTTAACCTTAACCCTAGCCCTCAATTTCACTAGAGGAGTTTACTGTTGTAGCTCAAACAAGCAGATACAGCAGGTTCCAGCAGGTCTTTTGAATAGGGATCAGAACTTTAACGTAATTTAAAGGGGACCTATCATACAAAATGCACTTTTGTACGTCTTTTATACATGAATATGTGTCCCCGGTGTTCCAGGGAACTCACCAAGTGTCAGAAAACACAACCCTCTCTATTTTCCTCCATACCCAAATCTCTAAAAAAGGGGCTGCAACGGATCTGATAAAAACTGATCCAGATTTGAACACTGTCCTGACGTCAGAACAGTGGCGCTACGGCTATTGGGCCAACTCCACCAATCAGGAGGAGACAGACACGGCCATTGCCGTTCGAAAGCGCTGGAGACACTCTAGTACATATGCCAGGCCTGTAGATGGTGCTGTTCTCACTGAATCTGCCCTTGCAAAAACAGAGCTAAAAAATGTCAAATTGAGCAAAATGAGGCATGGCTAAAATGCATGATCTGTTTGGTATTTTGAAAAAAAAAAAAGTATAAATATGCCTTATATAGGTATGGTCCTACACTATATTATTCAAATATAGCATGATAGGTCCACTTTAAGTTAAGTTAAGTTTCACCAACCTTGAGGACTCGAACGTAGGGCGTCCCATCTGAACCGTAGCGGCTGCCGTTCCTCTCGATGTGTTTGAGCCACTGGATGTGAGGCTGGGCGTCGCTGTAGACCTTGCAGTGGAACTGGACGTCGCTGCCCACCACCGCTGTGGTGTTGGCGGGGAGACCGGCCTGCAGGATGGGTCTGTGGGGGGAACGCTCTGGAGAGGAGAAGTCAAAGGAGAGATTAGCAAAGTGGGCAAAGAGGAAAGATGGCATTGGCCTTTTTTCTCAGGACCACATTTCAAAGGTTATTTGGGGACATGGAGAGGGAGATTTTACTGATCTGCCAAATATTGTTTAATAAATTCCGCTTTCACTCAGAGTCCATTATCCAATCATAGGAAGCTGTGGCTAAGTTATCCAGATATTTGACGGTTTAACAGCCGACAAACGGTATGCTTTGTAAACAAATGTCTGAAAAAATGCCCAGCAGTTGTCACTGTCACATATAATGTGTTTTCATGCTGGCATTGAAAAGCAGGAAATTAAATTTGGGATGAAAATCGGTTCCATTAGTGTGGCTCTTTGTCAGCTGGTTTCCAGGCTCTCTTTGATCTGTGGTTACTCTCGCTCTCTGATCTCGTTAGTTGTCTCGTTAGTCTTCAACGAGACGGAAACTGACCCTGTGGCGGACTGACAGCGAACAAATGAACAAACAAACCGCAGCCCTTCTCAATCTGCTGTCACAGGTCAGGTAGAAAACTGGTGTGGACGCCCGATCCTCCACATCCGGCCCAGGAGCCCCTGTCATGTTCTGCTCACCCAATTATCCCCTCCCTCAAACTGAAGGCTTTTATTTGTAGGCATGATATTTGTCCACAAGTGCTGACAGAGACCTACAAACTCATGCCTTTGGGGCTGGGAATATTGTCAGCTAGATCACAAAGCACTGATACTCAACAGAAACGTTTTCAGTTTTGCCAAATTGGATAATTCAACCCAAATGCATGACATTTATATTTTGCACACATTCTGTAGACAACACTACATCTTCTGTTTCTTACCGAGGACATCAAGAACGTAGCTGTGAGTGATGGATCCATATTTGTTGTCCACCATGCAGGTGTAGTTTCCTCTGTCTGAAGGCACCACACTCTCCATCACAAGGCTCCAGTGCTGGTGTCTCAGCTAGCCAAAGAAACACACAAAATAATACATCAGCACCAATGGATACTCAGTCTTTTTAATAACTCCAATGAACACTGCTGTCATTCATCTTGATTGATCAGATGGTAGGTAACCATCCTCACCTTGATGCCCCCGATGCGGTGCTCGCCTCTAAACTCTCGTCCGTTTTTGAGCCAGCGGATGCTCGGCAAGGGGCTTCCCATAGCCGGGCAACGAAACTTCACCGTGTTTCCTGCAGGAACAGCGTACAGCTTCTTCTCCATGCGCTGGGTGTGGGTCCAATAGGGACCTACATGGACAGAGACATGCCGTTAGTAAGAGAGTGCTCTGATGAAGCCTGGTGGTTGTACCAATCCTTCAAGATCATCAACAACAACTCACCTCTTGAGATGTAAACCTGGTCGTTTTCGATCTCAGCTGATGAGTCCTCCAGATCATTGTCTTCATCGTCATCCCCTGACCCCAAAGAGTCTGGAAACAAAAAAGGCAATGGAAATAAAAAACACGTTGTTTATCCTTGTTTGATTAAGAAATGGTTCTTGCAGTCCAACAACTCTGAGTTGATTGATTCAAAAAAGCTTGTTTGGTCAAACTAACAGTCCAAAGCCCTCAGATATTCAGTTAACAAACATATAGGTTTAAGGAAGCAGCAAATGATTTCCTTTAAGAAAAGGGCACCAGTGAATTGACTTTCATTTCTGCATTAAAACTGGCTTTCAACAATTAACAATGTTTTCAAATAGTTGGCTATGAAGTTCTTTCTGATAAACGAACCAATTAATCGTCTTGTTTCTGCTAAAATGTTACGTTTTGCAGCTATATTGGTGGTCCTTGTTTTCTTTCCTTATATTCCCTTCCCCTTGTTTTTAAGTTAACATCAAATGCAAATCTTAATTCTGTCATTGTGTACTGTGCGAGTGTCCTTACCTGCCACAGTGATGGTGAAGTTCCTCACGGGTTCTTTGGTTCCCCGGAGAACACAGACATAAACGCCAGAGTCCTCATACGTGACGTCTGTGATCTCCATGATGGTGCCTCGGATCTGGCAGCGAGGCGTGGGCTGAACTCGGACCCCCTCCCTGTACCATGTGACCGCCATGCCGGGCCGGGTGCTCGCATCGCAGCGCAGCTTCAGGACGTTTCCCGGATCGATCAGAAGATGCTCGGTGGTGTCCTCACTCAGGTCCTCAATAACATCTGTTTCAACCAAAGAAAACCGAGGTGTTAGCGGACAGCCATTTTCCTTTTCCCTGTGCACCAGGTTTGTTTTTGTCTTTCTTTCTTAAATGTTCTTTAACTCATTCACACCACTCAGGCCAGTCAGCAGGTTATTTATTCATCTCCCCTCTCAAGCAAGTAGCCGCCCCCTCAACTTTGACCTTCAACACTTCAACCCTATTATCTCCTCTCCGCACACACACACATACACACACACACACATTCACAATGGAATTACCATAGAGACCAGGAGGCCTGACCCACCCAACACACCCCCCCCCCTACTCTTTATCTTTTTGTTCCCCTGTGGATTATTGTGGGACTCAGAGCGATCTAGCTAACACAGCAATCTTCCCCGCCCCCAAAAAAAGGAAGAAGAAGAAGAACGAGAGGCTAATGAACACGTTGCACCGTGACAGAGGACGGAGAGTAAATCTGAGGGGCGGTGAAGGTTCACTGGAGATCTAAGTGAGCGACGTGAGGAGTGAAGATCATTTCAGCCTGGGGAGGAGGACAAGCCCACACAGATGGCCGCCATACCATCTATAACTGTATATATAACAGTCTGTGCTGTACTTCCTGGGTTTACAAACTGAACTTAAACAGCTCTGTCAGTTCTTACTCCTTGATTGCCACTAATTCAAGACCTTGGCTTGCAGTCAACAGAATGATTGCAACTAAACTTTGTGATTAGGTTGCTTAATGCTCTTAATGTCATTCATTTTTGTAAAGCACTTTGAATTGCCTTGTGTTGAAAGGTGTTATATAAATAAACTTGCCTTGCCTTGCCTATACTGATATTTTTGGATTCAAAACATTTACATTTGCAACTTTTGCCAGTGTGAGAATATGAAGTTACCTGATGGGATTTCAGCAACAGTCAAGTCCTCAGTTTTAGAAAGGATGATACCTGGAGATAAGAAAATGTAAGGTGAGCATATAGCGTGATGCTTGGTCTTGATAGATGCTATATTGTTGTGCGATTATGGTCTAAGGTCATATAAGGTATGCTTGAAAATGATGGCAGGAGTGTGTTACCAGGCAGGACGTCCAGCCACGCCGCCTGCATGGCCTGCACTGTCTGTCCTGCATGAGATCCTTCAGCCATGCAGAGGTACTCTCCTGCATCCTCCAGAGTGATGTTGGACAGATGCAAAGTGTTCACCTTCGATGCATTGATCTGCAAAGGCTGCATGGAGAAGAGATCATTTAATATCTTATGTCCAATATTGGGAAAATACTGAATGTACTCTTCCAATATGAGAGTAACATGATAACAAAGGTATCCCAACTGTAGCTGTGTACATGACAGGATGTATGATTACCTAGAAGAGCATCAGGACTGTTTGAGGCATATGATAGCTATGTGATTAACATGATGATTCAGCCTCTATGGAGATAGACATATGACAAGCATGCTCATTTCTGACGTGGAGCTAATCTGAAGTAAACATTGAATACTGCTTTATATTCCTCCATCTTGTGACTGTGTAACTCCCTCTCTTGGATATCAGCATGTGAAGGACACTGTTCAGGAACTAGTTGATGCTCTGTATGTGATGACTACTTCCATTCTTGAGAGGATCATAAATACATGTGTCCTGATATTGAAGCTCAAGCCGGTGACAAGTGATATTCCTCTAACATCCAATATGATGAGGACAGAACACATTTATTGTTTGCAGTTGTTCTCACCGTTAGAGCCCTGAGAGTAGGCGTTACGCTCTCGCTGACCTCCGTCTTCAGCCACTGCACCTTGGTGGACGCCGGCCGGTGGATTTTACACACCAGCTTTGCCTGACCGCCCACCACAGCTGTAGTGTTTTCTGGGTAACCTGGGTTAATCAGAGGCCTGGAAACCCGCAGATCTGGAAGAAAAACAAGGAGACATTTAGACAAATCTGTCTTAATATTGTGGAAGAATATTTTTTTTATTTCATGGTTGACTTTAAAGGCATGAGAGAAATGTTCCTCTGAATATATGCATTGGCCTTAATAAGAGAAAGATCCCCACAATGACCCAAAGTGGAGTCTTCAGTGGAGCTTTGTGCAATGTCTGCAGAAGTGAGGTAAAGCGTGGCGTGACTAGAGCAGGTCATCTGTCCTCTGAAACAAATGTCAAGAAAACTACAAGTTTTCAAAACGTTCTTTACCCGAGAAATACCGGTCCAGGAAGTCATGTAATGTCACAGAAAGAAATGTGTTTTATTAACCTGCTACAAACCTCCTTAGTCTGAACTTGCTCTGAGTAAGAAGGACAAAAATGGTCAGATGACACCCCAGAGGTCTCAGTTTACCTCTGAAAGGTCCCGCAACAGAAGCACACCATGTTCCTTAACAACCGCTGTCATTTAATGCCACTAGGAGCTGGTGATAGAGTGCCCTGATAACCCGGCTACTATCGTGTCACCATCAGCCACAGTGCCATCCATTCACTGGGTCACTCGTCCATTTATGTGTTCGCCCACTCACTTGTTGGAGCATATGTGCGCCCTGGCTGCTCAGTCACTCAGAACGAGCAATTTTCCAGGGCAATTTTCTGTCTGATTGCTTCCTGCGAGCGCTTAGTGAAACGGCAATCTGTTCGCTTGTCAGCAGTGAAGTGCTGCCCAGAGTACATGTGGAGATAAAGCTTTCAGGAGCACACACACATGGTTGTAAGTAGAAAAACCAAAATGCTGATTGGTTGAAGCAGCCAAAAGGACGGCGAATGAAAATAAACGTGTCCTCAACGTATTAATAGTAGGAGATCCCAAAAAGCCACACATTTTATTCTAATGGAGCAAACACAGTAAATCAATCGACAATAAATCACAGCACACACACACTTACAGCCATGCTAATGAACTTGCAGAGATAGGGACTCTGCCCTGGAGTTGAACTCGCAGCAGAGTGTGAATTGTCACCCAGAGGCGAGGGGGCAAACAAACACAACACAACACAAACAAACCGCCCATCGGCTACAATGCGGAGTCTCATGCCCTGAGCAGAGCAGCAGATATAACTGCAGAGCTACAGATCCTCTCAAAAATAAACATTTGATTATGTTCCTTAAGCTGGAGAGTTACTGAAGTGGCATGCAATGAGGTCAGTTTGCAGCTTTAATCTTAAGAAGCTGGGATCATTCTTTATTTGAAGCCTAGGCCATTAAAACATTTAACAAAAAAGTCTCTTCACAGAAGCACTTAAAAAGGTTTAGCTTATTTGAAACCACTAACAATGGTTCTGCCTAATAACAAGTAAAGCAGTTTGAGGATTAATGCTGTTGTGAGGTTTATATACACGGTTAATTGTTTAAGAAAATGGTTAAACCAGACAAAGATTATAGTTCCCATCCATCCTTTAAACTTTGCCATCATCCGTGTACAATTCTATAATTTGTATTTTTGTTTGGATTACGGTCCGCCAACGTTTACGGCTGTACTTTTTCTATAATCTGTTATGATGTGGCAGAAAACATGACTGCAAATATGTGGGACAGGGGAAAAACATAGGACAAGTCTGATCCCTGCATTTAGCAGCATGCGGTTAGTAACATTAGATGTATAATTATATTTAGCAACATGACAGAAACGCCCGGGGGCTAAGAATACTTTAAAAGATCAATGAAAGCTTTGTCAGATGAAAAAAAGGATGTTTCTCTTTCAATTCTTCTTCATCATAAATGTGAACTTTTCTGCATTAAATTCCTCCAGAGGAGATCTTCCCTGTCAGGAGCAGTGCATTGTGGGTACCCCTGATCCCTCACCACCTCTCCTCAGCTGGACTTTTTCTCTTGTCTCTTTAAACGGACATCAAGGGGGGAGTTCATCTTCTTCTTTGATGCCATGTCTCCTCTCAGTTGCGATAATCTTCCTTCTTCACATCATATTTACACTTTTCTCTTATCTAGAAAGTGACACCCCACAACTTTAAGAATCAAACAAAAGGGACAAATCCTGATAATTGAATGGATATCTTATCAAAACCTTTTAATTAGGATAATCCATGACTTCACAGATGTTTATTGTGGCCCATGTTGTGCTGCAATTGAATTATTATTTAACGACGCTGTAGAAAATGATGAGTGTTTACTGAATGTATTGATAATCCTGCGTTATACCGTCCTCTTGGTCTGCCAAAGTAGTTACAAGGAAGTTTGTTTTTGGAGATAAAGGCTTGACTTAAAAGTTAAACGTTTTTTCTTTTTTGCAGAAAATTGGGAATTGACTTGAGTGTGTTTGTGCAATCACCAAATGACTGATATGTGGGGGAACGGTCTGAAACTCCAAGATAAAAGTTGCCCTCACAGCTGCAACCTGGGTGTTTTACGACCTGAGGATCTTTCCATCATCAATCCCAGTTTGACTCTCTACTCATCTGTCTTGTTAATAAACCTGAGAGGTTCTTTTCGGCACATTATCGTCTGAAGAAGCAAGCCCCAACTGGCCTTTTGGGGCCCTGAAGTACAAAGTGGGGGCCACAGAGATGGAGAAGAGACAGTTACTGTGCTCCATGCCTCCGAGGCAACAAAACCCAATTCATCTTTCGTCGATCGACACACAAAAATGTCACCTCGTCCTTTAATCTGACTTAAAAAATCATCTACCTCACAGAGAAGGAGAAACAACTGAGGTTACTGATTGAATTGAACGAGTATACTGATTACAGCGTAACTCAATGGAAACATGCTAATGGAGCTCACAATGGCTGACTTATTGCATTGGCTTCTGTTTGTAAAGCATCAATGAGAAAGCCCCCCCCCCCCCTCCTCATGCTCTACAGCTGGCACACAGCCAGGCAGATTTACACATCCGAGCCTCAGGGCCTCGGACAGATCAGGTAACTCAGTTTACGGCAGCAGAAACACTGAAAGCTTTTTTCGCCTCCCTCCCTCCCTCCTTCCTTCCTTCCTTCCTTCCTTCCTTCCTTCCTTCCTTCCTTCCTTCCTTCCTCCATCCTAGACTCCACAGCAGCCTCTGTGTAATTTTTCCTGTCACCTTGACTTCCTCTGTGGTCATGGCTGCCAAGAAACTGACACTTTCTAAGAAGGGAGAGTGGATCGAAACCTTTGCAGATATATCCACACATATCTAACTTTTATGCAGCGTAAACCAGCAAAAGTAGGGGAGGAAATCATCTGTAAAGCATCTTGAAATGATGTGATTTGACAAGGTTTTATAGTTTCACATGCAGAATTAAATCAGCTGAGGTCTTACCTTTAGGCCTTCCTTCATCGATGACCCTGGCCGAGACTGTTTCCATCAAACAGAGCAGAAAAACACAGAACGTGCAGACCCTCGCCATCTTCTTCACGTGTTTCTTCTTGTGTAAAAAGGTAGATATGTTTGTTGGAAGCCTGGAGTTGGCTTCAAACTCCGGTCCCTGGCATTGGAAACTTGAGAAAGTCTCTAAATCTGGATCCTGCAGACGCAAACAAACACAATGGGAGACAGTTATCTTCTGATCAGAGGAGAGCAGCTTAAAAGAGACACAAACTTCTCTACTCATGTTAAAACCAGGTGGGAAGAAAACACAAACAAGTGTTCAGACAAACAAGGGAAAAGAGGCTGTTTTGACTGAGCAGCTGTATTCACAACCAGATGTCCTGCTAACTGTCCCACTCGTCGGCCTCACATTGTCCAGGCTCTCCTGCGTCATGAATAAGGAGCAGGGCTGTTACCGCCTGTTGTTTGTCAGCATGGCCCTGTTCATTCTGCCCCCCGATAATGGGCCCTTATTGGGAAAACACTTGAATCTTGCCAGGAAGCTGCAAAATCTGAAGGAGCAGCGGAGACATTCGACTGGCAGCTGATGAGAGACTTCAGGTGGAAACAGGTGACTGCTCACAGGAGCATCTCCTTTCTTTAAATCTGACTGCATATGATAATCTGAGTGTACTATATTAAATTATAACTCTAAACTTCACGTAAGGTCTGTGCATAAATGGTCAGAAAAAAGTGAAAGGAATGCCTATATCAGACTGTCCAAATGCAAAAGGAGATGTCTTCAGATCTCAGTTACGTCTCACTAACACTTCAAAAAACCCATTTATTTATTTATTATTACAGAAGACAAAGAAAAGCAAAACAAACCCGACTTCCAATTATGAAATTGGAAGTTAGATTTATGATCTTGATTTGGCATTTTTGACTGAAAATGGCTTTTAAGTTTGTTGAAAGAAAACTCCAATCCTTTACTGTTCCAACTTTAAAATAGAAATGTAAAACTCCAATGCTTTTTAACTTAAATATATGCTTGACTTCTGAATGCATCAGTGTCCATTACATAATCAAACCTCCTCATTTATGTAAGGGAAAAGTTAATACATGTCTTCCAATTTCCACAGATGTAAATGAATATGATAAATATGATTCCACTGCTGAAAATATTACCATGAAAATATATTTTTTTATCTTATTTTAGTACAACACTGACACCATGCATCCATTCTGCAGACACAGTTTAAACACGAACACACTAAAGGAATAATGTGCAGTGATTTTTCTGCTGCGAGTCAGCCCAACTGCGCACAGGCGCCAGACCCTGGTGCGCCCACACGCACACGTACACGCACACACACACACACACACACACACACACACACACACACACACACACACACACACACACACACACACACACACACACACACACCGTTTAAAGAACCAGCCGGCTGAATGAAACGTATTCTTTCTCAATTAAGGACTGGAAAGAAACTTTTTCTCCTGCTGCTGCTAATTCCGCTGGCACGCTGCCTCGCAGCCAAAACACTCTCCTGTATTCTACTCTGCAGCCTGAAACACGCAGAGAGGGACGACCCTGTGAAGGCTTTTATTTTGCATACACTACATCTTTCTGTCACTTAAGTCATACTTAATAAATCCCTAATATTAGTCTCAATCAGTCCTTGTAGGTCACTATGCATGTATCAATGCTGTCAGTGAATACATTCAATCAATTGAGCAGTGTGTGACACAAACTGGGATCTATGGATATATAAAAGCTTTTGTTAATTGAAGGTTGACTTTAAATAAAGTTTTCTTATGGAATTGTCAGATAAGGATTGCCATCATGAAAAATGAAAATGTAACACTTTAAAGCAATTACACGAGTCCTTATTTAAATGATTTAAAAAGAGAGCGAGTTCAAACTCAACCCTCTCCTCAGAAATAGTCCGTCTGAAAGGTTCAATGTCTAATTACTGACTTGTTTGGATCTGTTCGCGTAGCAAAACAAGTTACAATCTGAAAGCAATCGTTTCTTTCTTGAAACCCCTGCTTAAAATGACAAAACGTGGATTTACAATGCAAATGAGCGATCCTGGTTGATAGACATTAAGCTTTCTTGTGCCCCATATCAAGACATTAACACCTTCTTTTAGGGGAAATCGCTAAAGTAGAATTAACTCAGTTTAATAACAAGATGTAAGGCTTTAAACCATTGCATTTGAGGCTTTTAGTCTTAATGTAACAACACCTGTGAAATGAATGAAACAGCAAATGTCCAGCTGTCTGTTGTCACCCACCTTTCCTCCCGGTCTGTCCGCGCAGAGATGAGTGGTACCGGGGGGAAATCACTCCTTGTCCCGGGCGATACGAGTGAATATTGAAATCCTCATTTGGAGTTATGTTATCACCTTTCCCAAAAAGCAGTCTGTGAGCGCCTCTCGGCTGTTGTGTATCCGGCTGAAAAACGAGCTTATAAATCCATCAAAACAGCCCCCAGGAGCATGAACGACAGCTGCCTGGTGACCGGTGGAAGGAGCAGCGATCCCCCTGGGCAAAGTCCGTTTAGAGGGCTAAATCCATAGAGGGAGAGAAAACCAAACACGGAGCGATAAAAGTGGATTCACACGGGTACAAAAAAGTCCTCTTTTCGCTGTGAAAATGTTGGAAAAGATCCAATGTGGCGAGAGATTGGTAGAGGGTGATCAAAACGTGCCCCCGTAGTTCACAGTCGCCTCTTGGTTAATTCTTTACGCGCGTCTTTTACGCAGCGCTCCTGCTAAACTCTCCTCTCCTGGGTGAGTGTATCCCGGTCAGATGTGAGGTTTCAAATGCGGAGCTGAGCCTCAGTCCGCTTAACTTGTACAGAGAGAGAGAGAGAGAGAGAGAGAGCCCTCCTACAGCACTGTGCTCTCCGGACGGCAGTCACAACAACAATGGTCTGAGAGCGGCCAGGGGAGGAGGAGGGGGGGGGGGGGGGGGGGGGGGGGGGGAGAGAGAGGGGGGGGGGGAGGGGAGGGGGGCGCTTCTGTTACCCCCTTGACTGAAAAACAGCCCCGATCCCTCCAAAGAGCTGGCAAATAAACCCCTTAGCCTCCTCTCACAGTGTTTCTTGAATTAGAACTTTTACCTTATTATTTTTTGAGCAAACTAAACTTTTTTTTAAATCGTCCATATACAGTTACTGAACGCGTGCCGAATGAACCACATACATCACTTCTGTTCTGGTCTCATAATTTATTGCGGGTTTATTGTCCTTTATACAAACAGAGCATTAAGGCGTCTCTTAGAAGATGCATTCAATTAAGTTGCTTTAGTGAGTGAATGCTGTGAATTGCCTGCGTGTTTTTAATTGCATCAGTAGAAAGAGCAGGAGGAGTAATCCCATTAGCTGCAGCAGAGAATCAAGATCAGCCCTGTTTTTATCAGCTTATAACACGCTGAGCCTTATGTTAAAGTAAGACCCATGGCTAAAAACAAGTTATAATGGGGAATGACAGGAGTACGTATTATTTGTATGATGCAGAAATATAGCATGAGATCAGTATTCAGGTGATATAAAGAGAAAACACCTGATATAGACAATAAAGTGATAAGAATGTGAACATAACATCACATCACTAACTCATTAACTTCTACTTTAGTTTCCCCAACTCACTTTAGTCTGCTGGCATTTTATCAAAACAGTTGAAAACAATGGACAATGCATTTCTGTCGGTATCTCACCTACATAGATTTTTAATACTCAATCCATTAACATCACAGAAGCAAAAACAAACAATTGATAAGTAGCTTTAACTCTGTGATGTATGGACACCAAGTGGGGAGTTTCTACGTCAGCAATATTCTGTCAAACATCATCTTTTTATTAGTTTAAAATAAATACAATGTCTTTTTGAGGTTTTAATGTATGTCGATATTTCATTATATAGCCGAAAACATGTTTTTTTTGTATATTCAGAAGATAATTGTGTCTGTGTGTAGAATATTTCAACCCACCAAACACTATTCCTTTAGATCAGAGCTGCACGATTCAACCAAGCGATCAAAACTATAATAAACAACTTTTTTTGCATTCGAACATGAAAGAAAATCCTGTTTTATCCTCCTAAATATGGAGATTTCCAACTGTTCTCTTTTGTATATCCCAATAAACTGAATATCTTTGGGTTTTGAACTGAAAACAACAAGACATTTTAAGTTATCACATTGGACTTTAGGAACTGGAACGGACATTTTCCACCTTTTTCTATCATTTTATAGACTCAACAGCTAATCAACATTATACGAGTCAAACAATATCATAATATATTTTGACCAGAGTTTGTTGGAAGCCATTTACGTTTGCCAGTTAGCTAACCTTTGTCCCTATAAATGCCCACAGTGGTTTATCCTTCAGTATTGTTATTGTTTTTACCGCTGCAGGACAAGTTTTATTGTGAAGAGAGACAGGAAGTGTATGGGAGAGAAAGAGGGCAATCACAAGCTACAAAGGTCCTGGCCCGGATTCAAACCTGGTTACATGATACCTGCTTTGGGCGAGAAATGATTGACTAAAGCTAAAAATGCTCAGCAAACATACAAAAAAAAGTCCCAAATACTCAAAATAACTTGTTATGTGTGGGTCAGACTCCTGCAGCAGCCGCAGCACGAGCGTATTCAGATGAAATGTAAGTGTTGAAATAAATTCCAGATTTGACCTTTGACACATTGCAGTGCTACTGCGGGTCAGACTGAGCTTTACAGCGAAAGTCAAAGTACACAAATAAACGAGGCAGAGTGGAAGTCATAAAGCAGATAAGAGCTGTCGCTGCGTGGTGGACTGTTATATGTGTGTGTCATACCTGAGCATGTGTGTGTGTGTGTGTGTGTGTGTGTGTGTGTGTGTGTGTGTGTGTGTGTGTGTGTGTGTGTTTTTTGGGGGAGGGGGTTAGCCTGATAGATTTAGATTTATTATTAAGATACTTGTGTTTTGGGGAGGGAACAGCGGTGTTAATGTTATTGCACCTTGTTGTTGTGCTAATGAGATACAGGTGGGATCGCAGACGCCTCAATTGCTTCACACTCACACACACACACACACACACACACACACACACACACACACACACACACACACACACACACACACACACACACACACACACACACACACACACACACACACACACACACGCACACATCTTAAGTGAGCATTTAAAGTAATTACACCATGTTTTAGCTTGCTTTAAATATTTAACGTAACGTTGTGTGCTAAATTAGAGACAATAAAGAGATCTCTTGGCTGCATCATGCTAACACTTAAGCACAATCATCTCACATGATGGACAGAGACAGATCCGATGCTGAGAAGGAATTACATTTTGTAAAATTATATGTACTACCGTTACTTCTACTACTACTTCTTCTTCTATAAAAAATGCATGAAAAAGAAATGCCTCAACTTGAGGCTTTGGAGGGCCTGGCCTGTGGGGGGACAGGCCAGGCCCTCCAAAGTTAGAATACTACTACCACTAATTATAATACTACTAATTTACTAATATTGCTTCTTATACAACAAATGCACACCTCAGGCCTCAACTTGAAATCCCCACCAGACCAGACCCTCATATCCTAAAACGGAAATGCTACCACTACTACTACTACTACTACTACTACTACTACTACTACTACTACTACTAGTAGTAGTGCATAGGTAAAGTTTCACTATGTCTGTTTTCTACATGTACATGTGAGTGATGAATAAAGCGGGTTTCTGTTTACGTCTACGAGGTCTCTACCACTACAACAATTGAGCTACTGAATAAAATGAAACACCTCAACTTAAATTCCTCCCTAAACCAGACTCCCAAATACTACTTCTACATAGTGTACTAATTCTACTACACATGCCTGATAGAATCAAACACCTCAGCTTCAGATACCCCCTGCACCGGACCCTCCTTCCCTCCCACATCTTTATCTGATGACATCAGAGATATGGGAGACCCTCCCGGAGCCCAGGGTCCAGATAGCATTGATAGCTGCTGCATACTGATGTTAATGTGAGGAGAATACCGGGGCTGGCTGGTGCCTGACAGCTGATAACAGATGAGGAGGAGGAGGGGCGATGTTGGGGTGAATGATAATCATTGGGGTGAGGTGAGGTTAGGAGGGTGTGTGTGTGTGTGTGTGTGTGTGTGTGTGTGTGTGTGTGTGTGTGTGTGTGTGTGTGTGTGTGTGTGTGTGTGTGTGTGTGTGTGTGTGTGTGTGTGTGTGTGTGTGTGCGTGTGTGTGTGTGTGTGTGTGGAGGGAAAGTGAGGTGGAATAAAGGTCAGGAGGAATGTGCGAGGTGTGGCCGGTCGCTCATTAGTCCGCTTCACAGCAGGGAGACATTATGGAAACATCAGGTCTCCTTTTACATTTAAATCTCAGACTGTTTAGCCAATGCTCCTCTCCAAGACGTCAACAACAGAGCATCTTAATGTAAAGGTTTATTACCCTCTTATGTGTCTTATGTGAAATCACTTAAATGTAGGTCAGAACTTGAGTGATGTTTAAGAGTATTTAAATATTAGGTATTCAGATTATTAGGTCTTTAAGTGATCTGTTAATGTACAACAAGTCTTTGTAACAAAAATGCATTGAAACGCATGCAGGTGAACCACATAGTGATGTGTGGATTGTTTCAGACCATTTCAATCTGGTCTGTTTGGCTGAAAGCTCAGACAGTAAACTGAGTGTTTGCAATGAAGATAAATGTGCAAATGCAATGTTTTCTTTGGCATTAACAAAATGATTCGTCTCCAGCTGCCTGAAAGTGCAAATACAGCCAAATATGGAGCGTTTCATGGACTTCTGGTCACAACAGCCTATTTAAATATTTGGTAAAGAGATTATTAGGTCGCTTAGTAATGTGTCGATGCACCACATGTCTCTCATGCAGGTGAACAACACGGTGAAGGGAAATTGACAACTAAAAGGCTGAAATCATGCAGTGCGATGTCAACAACGGATTATCTTAATTTCAAAAGTGTATTCCCCTCTCATGCGTTGAAATCACTTTTATGTATGTCAGGATCTGTTGTGTAGTTAAGCCCATTTACCTCTTCATTACCTGGACATATGCAAGGCTGTTTCATTGATTTTGTCAAGTTAAAGGGAAAATAAATAAAAGCAAATGTATCGCAAACCTTTTTATTGTCTGAGCTTTCAGTCAAACTCAGAGCATCAGGTCTGTTGATTGAAAGCTCAGACAGTAAACACTGAAACTGTTTGCAGTGGAGATAAATGTGCAAATGGTTTGTTTTCCTTCGCATTTACACATTTATTTTAACTCCAGCTGCCTCTTGACTTCTGGTAGAGAGAGGTGGCTCTGGATATGGCAAATCAGACCAAACATCATGATGCTTTTCACTGATTTCTGGTCTCATCAGACAGTTTAAATAGTAGGGTTTCAGATGTTTAGGTGTCCCACTAACGTGTCGTTGCGCCACAAGTCTCTGCAGCAAAAATGCATTGAAACACTCGTGGTGAACAACATGGTGAAGTAAAAAGGTCAACCAAAAGATGGAGGGATGCAGTCTTCGTGGCATGGTGTGGCTCGAGGTCAGTCAGACCGTCTTGAGGCCATCGACTCCCACACAGGCTGGAGCTGCAGATCCCATTGTTGTGTGTTTGTGTTAATCATTACCTGCGTCGTGTTCGCAGCACAATGAGACGAGCTGAGAGAACGGGCTTTGTGATGCAGGGGGGCGCTGCTGCCAAAACACTGAGCTGAAAGAGAGACAGAGCCGAGAGGGAGAGGAGGGGAGGGAGGGGGGGGGGA